TAGTGTGAGACAGGTATTCAGGAAATAATAGATTGGTTGGTTGCTAATTATTCCTTAAGTGAATATGAGTTATCTTTGTCTTAAAAAAAAACCTTAAAATTTAGGATTGACTTTCTTTTTTTTGTTTTTGTTTTTTTGTTTGTTTGTTTTACGAGACAGGGTTTCTCTGTATTGGAGGCTGTCGGTCCAGCCCAGCCTCGAACTCACAGAGATCCACCTGCCTCTGCCTCCCGAGTGCTGGGATTAAAGGCTTGTGCCACCACTGCCCAGCTAGGATTGACTTTCTAACAGTCTCAGGAGGGGTTTGTTTCTGAGGGGTAAAAAAGTGAAAAGTAAGAACAATTTTATTCTTCTTTCTTTTACAATTTCAGCACAAAATATGCAGAGATGCTCCAGTTGATTAAGTTGATTAAGATGCTCCAGTAGGATCAGAAGAGATGGTGGCATACTGAGGTGCAGCAAAGCCTCTCTTCATGATTGAAGGGTGTGGTTTTTATGGTTAACAAGGCGTTAAGAAAATCACAGCCTTTCCAAAAGGACCTGGTATCACACAACTACAGGAAAATCCTTATGTCTCGTAAATGTTAAGTGAGAATCTACTCAACCTTGCACATTTCACTTGCTTGACACAGGAATCATTATTTTGTCAGCAAACAGAATCTATTCTTCAGAAGGCTGATTCACTCCTGTAACCTCAGAATTTGGAAGACAGAAGCAGACTCTTTTAAAGTTTGAGGCTAGCCTGGGCTACACAGTGAGTCTCTGGGTAGTCAGGGCTTTGTGGCAAAATCATGTCTCTAAACAAACAAACAAGTTTGGGCAGAGAGAACACCTGTCGCTCTTGCGGAGGACCTGGCATGGATTCCCAGCACCCACATGGTAGTTCACATAGTGGTGTAACATCTGTAACTCCTGTTTAGGGGATCTGATACCCTCTTCTGATATCACTAGGCTCCAGGAACTCACATGGTTTATGTACATACACACAGGCAAACAATTCATACACATAAAGTAAATATATTTTAGGAAACTCCAACCAAAACAATGTATAAAAATTCTCTCCTTATATCACTGTACTAAGAATTGTGAACATTTATTTAAAATGCTCTTTAGACATGTAGTTTGTTTGTGATTTCCTTTCAAAACTCTACAGAAGATTCATGAAAATGTTTCTGAAATACTATTTGCATACATGGTAATGTTCAGACTGGAAGACCAATTCTTGGCTGTCTTTGGCTGTTCATTGCAATTGCATAATAACAATGGTAACAAGGCAATTAACAGACTGTAGGGTTGTGATATACAGCGTGTTACATTATAAACACCTCGTAAACATGTTGCTGTGGAGCTGTGTGGTTTTCTTTTTGAGTCTGGCTTCTCCACAGTTCACAATTCAAATGATTCAGAGCAGAGCCAGGGGTGTAAATAAATTCAGAATTACCTTTGAGCTCCATGGAAAGGAAATCGGATACAGATGAGCTTCCTCAATAATTGCTTGCACTAAACAGTGTGATGACATGTTACAATGCCCTTGGCTTCTGCTTTTGTTTAATTACGGAGGCAGATAAAAGCTTTTCTTTTCCTGGAAAACCAGGTTTTGGTAAATTACTTATTCGGTGACTTTTACTCTGCATGTTCCTCCAACACATACTGTGGTTAGTAATTAAAGTGGGTTGACCCTGAACATAAAGCAGGGAGGATTTGCTACAGGGATTTCCTGAAAGATAGCCAGGGAATAGCTGATGACTTATGGTCAACATAAGAATTTCTGAGGATTCCCTTGAATAAAGAGACGTGTTAGAGCTCATCCTTGATAAGATAGTGGTGGTCGGTAGCCTTTGCCCATGTATTCTAGCATTCTAAAGTGTTGTCATCTGCATGCAACCCATGAATGCCTAAGTGTGTGTGTGTGTGTGTGTGTGTGTGTATAATACCAGTAGGGAACTGTGGGGACTTGTTTTCTACCATGATTCCTGAGGTTCAGAGTCATTGGTGGAAGCAATGAGAGGTATAGTGGTTTGATCTATAAACCTTAGAGATTATGAGCTTCCTGCTTAAGAATAGATGGAAGGCCAGGTGGAAGCCATTGGACCAGATTTTGAACTGTCTATCAGACATGTTCAATCCATGACCTGTGAGCCTTATGTGGCCTAGGATAGTTGCAATAGTGACCCAATACAAAATTGTAACTTAAAGATCTGTGATTTTTTATATTGTGACTTTAGAAACAATTGATTGTGCAGTTCTTAAGTGTGTACTTTAAGATTGACAGCACCATGTTACTGTGTCAAAAGGCTGGGCATGTCTGATGGATGGAGGAGGACAGTGAGAGGGGAGAAAGGTAGCCAATGAAGGGAATAAGGAATGGGTCTGCATTCTAAAGGGAGAATAAAGAGTTGTTAATGGGTGTGCTTGCTATGGAAGAAAGGTTTGATGTGACTTTGTCAGGGCTGGATAACTGCAAGGATGGAGTTTTGGTGGATGAGGAGTAGTGGGGGTGGGAAGTGGGTAGAGTGCTCTTGACCATCCTCCTACGCCTCTCTGATGGACCCTGAATCCTCTAGAACCCGGGCTTTCTACACACACACACACACACACACACACACACACACTCACTACATAGATAGCCCTGGTTAAGCTGGAACTCACTACATAGAACCAGACTGGCCTTGAACTCATAGACATCCACTTGCCTCTGCCTCCCAAGTTCTAGGATTAGTGGTATGCGCCACCACACTCAGGATCTTTTAAGAGCTCAGCTGAGCTTCCCACCTGCTCTCGTGTCTGTGGAAAGTGGTCATGGAATGACAACAAGGACTATTGCCTTGTTGGCAAGATTGTGAAAAACCCTTAATTGACTGGGATCCAGGTAGAGGTTGGAAAGGTCTGAGCCATGACACTTTGTTCCCTACTAAATGGACCTTTGGTAATGGCAGTCAATCTTAATAATGACTGACAGTGTCATGAAGGGAATGTTAATTAGAAGTTTTTATAGTCAGAATACAAAATGTGAGCCATCATAAAGACACACTTTTTAAAATTTGTCTGGATGAGTTTGTTCTGAATTAGATTGTTTCTTCTGTAACTATTAGGTACAACTTAATAGTGAGCCTTCAAACTCTGCTATTTTCTTTATGAGGGGGCTGTTTGTTTCCTTGTTGTATGAATTGTGCTTGCGTCAAGGATTTTATCAGCACAATTTAAGTTGCTTAATTTATTGGTACAAATTTATTTACAATAGTCCCTTGTTGTTCTTTTAATATTTTTATACTCTGCAGTGATGTCCTTTGCCACTTTTGACTCTGGTAATTTGTGTCTTTCTCTTTTGACTGTCTATGTCCCCAATTTTGCTCCAGTATTTCTGTGCATTTTTTGTTATGCTACCCTTAGTTTAAAAATATTTGGAGAGATTCCACAGATATTTTGCTGTTAAGTTAGAATTTAATTATTTTGTGGCCAGAACACACACTTTGGATAAATGTTTTTAAGTATACTGAGAATTGTTTTATGACCTAGAATTTGGTTTGCCTTGGTAAATGTTGGAGGGTGGAATATTCTAGAAACAACAGTTAGATCAGTTGGGTCCATGCTGTTCTATATCATGTGTTCTATATCATTATTAGTTTTCTGTTTGTGTGTTCTATCTACTATTAAAGGTAAATATTTAAATCTCCGACTCTACTCATGATCTGTCTTCCCTCTCTTTGCAATCCTATCTGCTTTGGTTTGTGTATTTTAAAGTTTTTAAAAATATAATGAAATACATTAATGTTCAAGATTATGATGTCTTTGTCAGTGAACTATCTGCTCTCTTATTATGAAGGAGCTTTCTCCATCTATGCTATTATTCTGTTCTGAGATTTCTTTCTCTGATACTAATACGACTGGCCCAGCTTTCTTGTGACTCACATTTGTGCACATCTTCCAATTTAAACAGCACGTTTGTAGGCATCTCAGTGTTGACTTAACTTCCAAATCACCCTGACAACCTTTGTGTTTTAGTTGGGGGCTCTGGGGCCACTCTCACTTAATGTGATTATTGACATGGTTGGTACCGAACCTTCATCCTTTCTGTGTGTTCTGTATGCTCTCTGCCCCCTTCCCTTCCTTCCTCTCCCTCCTCTTTTCCCCTTTTCATTGTTGGAGTGTTTTATGGCTCCATTTTCTTTTTTCTCATGGCTTACTAGACATGACGTAGAATTTTTTTTTTTGTTTTTGTTTTTACGAGACAGGGTTTCTCTGTATTGTTTCGGAGGCTATCGGTCCAGCCCGGCCTCGAACTCACAGAGATCCGCCTGCCTCTGCCTCCCGAGTGCTGGGATTAAAGGCGTGTGCCACCAACACCCGGCCATGACGTAGAATTTTGTGTACTAGCGGTTTCCTTAGAGCGCATTATAGACATGTCTACCTGGTATATTTCAGGTCAGGCATTTGGACTTAGAGAATGAACAAATGAAAGAGAGTACCTTGCGCCCCAGCCAATGGTTGCTCACAGCCAGCGACACCTTGAGTGTCCCTGTGCTGCTGTTTATGCACGTTGGCTTTAATCTCCTGTCTTGGTGTTAGTTTCCTGAGGTGAGGGTCCTGGCCACCAATGCTTTAGTATATAGGGTCATTGTCCTTGGGTGGTACTTTCCATTTGTTCTTGTTTAGTTTTAGTACATAGGGTCTGTGTCCTTGGACAGTACTTTCTAGTTGTTGTTGTTTATTTTTACAGTGTGAGAGCATATACCCCCATGGATGACAGACACCGTGACCTTGACTTACTGCGGTAACAGTTAACAGGGTATTATCAGGAAGAATAGACACATCATGGTCTAAGTTTATCTCACCCAACCCATACAAAGCCACACATGGGAAAGGAACTGGAGGCTAACAGATTTTCCCATTCTTGGAACATCATGGGGTTTCAGGGCTCTTGAATTTTTTTTTTAATATTGAACTTCCTGGTTGTAAAAGAAAAAAAAACTTATGCTCTTGTTTCTATTTTTCTTTTCCAGCAAGTCACTGGCAGAAGTTTTGGTGATAAAGACTTCCGGACAGGCCTAGAAAATGGGATCCTTCTTTGTGAGTAAGTACACCTGGCATTCCCTTGGTTTCAGTCTAGGAATGTTCTTGATATTATTGCTTGCCTGTGAAACTTCCAGTGGAGTATGATTTTTTTCTTTTGTTTATCTATTTACTTTTTTTTAAGAAAGGGCCTCATGTTTCATCCTGTGGCGCTGGCTGGCCTAACACTCGCCATATAGGCCAGGATGCCCTTGTACTCAAAGATCTGCCTCTGCCTCCCAAATATGGCCTTCAGTCTTTTGACTGAGCCGTAGTTTGAATCTGTGTGGCACAGGAAAACCACTGAGATGGGTAGAGAACACGCATGTGAGTCAGTGTGCAAAGGGAGTGGTGGAGACCACAGTCATTGCAAATTAGATGGAGAAATAGAACCCACTGGTGGGACTCTGCTCCCAGTAATTTCACCAAATGGGAACTTGTGCCCCAGTGGTTGTGAGGATACAGGGCTGCCTGTGCCACAAGTGAACACAGTGTTTCTGGAAACTCAAGGCATCTTAACAGCAGGCTAGGATGTGTTCTTCTCTAGCCCTACTATGTGCAGGTGTTGCTGGCAACTTCTTTTCCCGCCAGGTCCCGCCACCCTTTCAGCCCCAAATAAGCACATAGAGACTCTATATTAATTATTAAACTTGCCGATGGCTAGGGCTTCTTACTGTCTGTCTTAATTATTAACCCATTTCTACTAATCTATGTGTTTCTACGTGGCCTTATCTTACCGGAGAATGCCTGGTGCATCCTATCCTCCCGGTCCCTCCATGGCGTCCCTTTCCGGCGCTTCTCTGCCTGCCTCTCCCAGAATTCTTCTCATCTCCTAGTCCCACCTGTCTTCCTGCATCTATTGGCCAAACAGTGCTTTATTCATCAACCGATAAGAGAAACATAATACAGAAGGACATCCCCCATCATGCAGGTGTTGGGTACATTGAGCTTTTTGATGGCATTTCAGAGTATACACAGTGATGGCAGTGTCTGCTGTGCTTTGGAGCAAGACTCTGTCGTAGAGCAGTTATGTGACAATTGAATTGGGAGCTTTCTAGAAAGTGGCTTTAGACACAAAATAATCCAGAGCATTAATATTTACAGATGTATACGGACTTAAACTTTAAACCAAGTCTTCAAATTTTGAATGTATTTAATAGTCTGTATAATTCTGAGGCTGATTTCTATTTTAGTGAAATGGGTAATGGGCATTGTGCTGGCTAGTTTTATATCACCTTGACATAAGCTAGAGTTATCTGAAAGGAGGGAACCTCAACTGAGAATGTACCTCCAAAAGATCCAGCTGTAAGGCATTTTCTAAATAATGCTTGATGTGGAAGGGCCCAGTCAATTGTGGGTGGGGCCATCTCTAGGCTGGTGGTTCTGGGTTCTATAAGAAAGCAGGCTGAACAAGCCAATGGGAGCAAGCCAGTAAGCAGTGCTCCTTTATGATGACCTGCATCAGCTCCTGCCTCCAGGTTCCTGCCCTGTTTGAGTTCCTGTCCTGATGTCCTTCTGTGGTGAACAGTGATATGAAAGTGTAAGACAAATAAGCCCTTTCCTTCCCAACTTGCTTTTGGCCATGGTGTTTCATCTTAGCAAATGCAACCCTAACTAAGACAGACATAAAACACACAGTCCCTAAACGTGAAATCTGCGGGTTTGAAGGACATGTACAAGTCAGTTCTACACCCCCATCAAGCTATAAAATAGAAACTTCCCTTTTGTTATTTTCCACTGAGTCTCAGCTCCCCAGTGACTATACTGTTCCAAGCTCCCCTTCACCATAGCATACTTGGACCTTCTTGAGCATTAGGTAAATAGAATCGCATGTGGTAGACTCTTATTTTGGCAACTTTCAGAACATTGTTTGTTGAGGTTGAAAATTACAAGGACTTTGGAGCTTGAAAAGGAAATGTCCAAGTCCCTACTTTCTTTCTTTGAATTATCTAACCTCTCCAGTCTCATTTTTCTCTAAATGGCAATACACATTGACCACTCCACTGCATAGGCACTTGAGGGACCTAGCCTGTGGGCAAGCACTTTAAAGGACCGTGCAGTTCTTTACAAACAAGTGGCATTTGTTTCGTAGACTTTCTCCGTCTGAAGCCTGAGGACAGTAGAGTGGGAGATTTCCCTTCCCACCCCATGTTCTGCTGGCTGATGCTAGCAGGTACATTTCCCAGGACTTGGATCCTGAAACCAGTCTACCAATAAAAGTGATTCTGGGGGAGAAGTTTGCAGTATCCTACCCATGACTGGCTCTGAAGACTAGCCGGGATGCTGAGAGTGTGCCTCCATCAAGAACTGGAGAGGTTGGTAGGTGCTGGTGACAGAATTTTCACTCAGAGCTTCAGGCTGTTTTGCAACACTTAAAAACACAAAACCTCTGCAGTTCCAGCTTTTGAGAACTAAGCAGGTCATTTCTCCTTTGAGTGGGTATTCCATAGTGTATTTTCTTTGTTGTGTTTTGGATATGGGATCCCCCCCCACCTCTCATAGGCTCATGAGTTTGAATGCTTGGTCTTGGGGAGATCATAGAACCTTTGGGGCCTAGCTGGAGGAAGTGGGGCACAGCAGGAGACATTTAACCTGGCTCCATTTCCTGTCCCATCTCTGCTTCCAGACCTACCCAGTTGTGAGCAAGCAGCCTCCTAGGCTTCCCATCACCAGTGAGAACTAGCCTTGCCACCAGACCTTCCCTGGTGTGATGGGCTGTACCCTCAAACTTTGGAGTCCAAATAACCCTCCTTCTCTTAAGTGACTTCTTGTTAGTTCACAAAAATAAGGAAGGTAAATAATGCAGATTTAAAGTAGATGATATAGTCTATAAAAATTATTTAGGTTCTCTGCCTTCATGTGGCTTTGCACTGTAACCCTGTAGAGCGACCCTTATGTATATAAGTATAAATAGTTTACAGTTAGGAAGAGCAAGCATAGAGTGAACACATTCCCTTAATTCCAATAAATGTGTTTTCTCTCAGTGGCTCACGTTCCTCTGTTTTTTTGCTAAGGGTGTATACTGGAGGCTAAGTGCTCTAGTGATGTAAGCTCTTTCTGAGAGTTTCATAAGACGTCTGGAATCAAAGTGTGACTAAGCTGCAACTATGTGATAAGTGTCACACTATCAGATGCATGGGCCAAATACTGCACTGTTTCCTTGAGGATGTAAGGGCGGTTCAGTCCATGAAGAAGCTGCTCCTGGGATGGGATGGTGACTACAGCTGTCCAGACTGCCTCGACGGCACTCCAGAAGGGGAAGTTTCTGCCATTCTATTCTACCACAACTTTGTCATTTAGACAGACCGCGTAGATATGAGATTGACAAATTATGGCCTTCTGCTTATTTTTGTACTGGCCACCTTGTTCATAATAGCTTTTATGTGTTTTACATGTCTTTTTAGAGGAACTTGATGAGCCCCCAAAGACTATGGGACTAACTTTAGATGTAAATTGCTTATTCTCATTAAGTGAGGTGATTGAGTTTGATCAATTCAAGATACTATTTCAGTAAGTCAAATAACTTTATTTCAAACCAAAGAATCACTCAGGAGGTGTTTCTTTCAAGTTTTTCCTTCAGCTTTTCATTTTGACCAATTTCAAAATCGTATAGAGCAACCATAATCATACATAGGTACCTGTATGTCATGCACCCAGGTATACTGATTATTCTCCTTTTGCTATATGTATGCTATTTACTCATGCATATGCTTCTTTTTGCACTGAACATTTGAAACTGGGATATAGATATCATGAAACTCAGTTCCTATGTTCTCAAATGTGTGTCATCTAAATCCAAGGTTACCCTCCTGTAGGTCATTTAGACGTACCCAGAGCTGTTGTGGGAAAGCACAGTAAAGCTTGGTGTTCCCCATCTAACTGTCCCTATGATTGTCAGTGGAACTAGGCCAAAAGCCAGTTATGATGATGACATGGTCAACGCCCCTCTGTGTCACCGTGCACCCATCCACGCAATCCCAGGGGCTGCCAGCTAGCAGCGGGGTGAAGGAATTTGCATTTTACTTTCGAACTTCTCTTGTCTGGTTTGTGAGCAAAAACTGGGCAAGACATATTGAGTCCTTTACAAACTCGGTCATCTGTGAATAATGAGCTTTGGCTGGCAGAGCTTGGGAACTAGAATGCTTATTTTGCAAACAATAACCTTGACCACTGTACTGATGTCACTTCCTCCTGCTTCTCCAGTTTGCAGTGGCTTCTTCCTCAGGCAGCCTGTTTAGAGCTCTTCAGGCAGAACCAGTGGGTTTCTCTAAGTACTGTTTTTAACCTTACTCTAATAGTATCACAGAATTCCATCTCTGTTGTATATCCACATCTGTTGCTTACTCTAAACCCAGCTTCTTGAAGATGCTTTTGATATATCCTTGTATTTCCTTCACCTGGCACTGGCTTGACACATAACATATTCTCCATGCACTTGTTGAAACTGAGGCCTAGCAGCAAAACCTATGCCTAGGGCATCAGTGACAACCCTTGTCTGACTTCCCACAATATTATTCTCTCTCTCTCTCTCTCTCTCTCTCTCTCTCTCTCTCTCTCTCTCTCTCTCTCTCTCTCTCTCTCTCTCTCTCTCTCTCTGTCTCTCTCTCTGTCTGTCTCTCTGTCTCTCTCTTTCTCTCTGTCTTTCACTCTCTCTCACACACATAAGTTTCATACAGAGACCATATCTATGAATATCAAGGCAGTGAAAGATAGAGGCATCTGTTATCTTTAAGTATAAGATTCTCCCTTGGGAATTGGGACCTCCATCTTTCTAGGAGGCAAACAGCCACATGGATGAGTTTTATTTTGCCAACACATTCCCATGGAATGCCAAGTTTGAGTATGTGAGTCTACAGATAAGGGACCAATGAAGAATGCCTCAGGGGCTTTTTGTCTGTGTTCTTATGTTGCTGAAATACTTTTCTGATGATAAGAAATCTGCTGATACATACTTGTTTATGCTGTCCCTGATAAATGAGCTGCTTGCTCTATGAAGGAGAGCTTGTCTTGGATTCCTGTGAT